AATTTATTCACTATGTAAGAATTCGTTCACCATGTAAGAACTTGTTCGTTATGCTTCAGAAGATTGGAGACTGACGAGAATTAGACTTGAGATGGATTAATGATTAATGATTGTACATTGAGCATTGACCCCCCTATACTGAATTTTATTGTTGTTAACAACCATTTGATCAATAAATATGAGAGATGCCCTCAAAAAAAAAAATACAAATACACTTATATGCCCTTTTAGAATCTGAATCTCTTTTGTAGTATAGTAATTTCTATGGAGTATGTACACTGAGCACAAAGGCAAACCTTATTTCTGTGTCTCCCCCAGAAGCACTATTGCAGTGGCCTGATTTGTTTATTATTTTTAATTGATGGCCAACTCCAAAATATTGAAAATTTTTAAGTGATTGGACAGAAGAATCTTTTATTTTCAATTTAATTTCCTATAAAGATACAGTGAGAGAAAAAATCAGGGGCCCTGTAGAAGGAAGGGCGTAGGATTTAGTACCCTCTTAGAGTCCATAATTATGTTAACTTGGAAAAAGTTAGAAAAAGAGGAATAGTTTTCAATTAGCTATTTTTTTAATCCCAAATCAATAAGTTTGTGAGTTAATTTATAATCTTTTAGTAAAATCATGTTCTTTGGTTTCTTTTGTTTCCGAGGTTTTGCTTGGAATTATCTTTATTAGATTTTTTTTTAAATAATAGCACTTGATTTTAAATTTTATCAGAGCTATTATTTTTATAAGAATATATAGTAAGATATTTTGTTAGTTAAAGCAAAAATTGTACCAGACAAAATTAAGCAGACAAGGAATATTTTATTCAAGGATATTAAAATAGGGGACAGAGGCCAGAACTAAAGCCTGAACTCAGCTAAATTAAGTTAAAAGAGCTATCAAAGTTAAACTCTTACTATCCCTCAGAGCCTCTGAGATTGGGTTGATATCTTCCTTGATAATTGTATTTCAAAAGGATGGCTTCAGGTCCTTAAGAAAGTTACCCCTGTGTCTGAAAACTGGAAAGTGACTTTTATGAAGTTTTACATATGTTTCGAAGGGGCAGGAAAGAATTTACAAGTTTTCCAAAGTAAATGCTCTAAGAGAAAGGAAGTTGCAGGCCTAGAGTCAGAAAGAAGCCTATCTATGGTTTATTCTCAGCTTGAGAAGCCTTCTTGGTATTTTTTTCAAGGACACACCCTCTGATTCTTGGAATATGCCTTCTTTCCACATGCCATGCTGTTTAGTACATAGAATTTTCCATATTACATAGAATTTATTACTAAAAGTATTAAAGGCTAAGATGATATGATCTCTTAATATACTGCAGGATTTCTGCTGTATTCATTTGTTCTTTTCACAATTAATCTAGAATGTGTGCATCACTGTTATCCCAACTTTAAAAAGGAGTCATCTCAGGTTACAATAGGGATGAAACTTGAGGACATTATGCTAAGTGAAATAAGTCAGTCACAGAAGGACAAATACTGCGTGATTACACTTACAAAAAGTATCTAAAGTACTCAACCTTGTAGAAACACAAAGTAGAATGGGGGTGGCCAGGGGCTGCACGGAAGGGGAAATGGGGAGTCGTCCTTCATTTGGTCGGCATCACCTAATCTGTGAACGCGGGTTTATAGATTTGGGGATTCTGGAGCACTCAATAACTGGGTGGCGTTGGGAAGATGTGAGGTCACTTTAACCATCAACATGTGTGGGGTGACTGAGGGTCTTTGATTTGGATTCTATGGCATCACTTATTTGCTTTCCGCCTTGGGTGCATCATTAACATTTCTGAGACCACTCTTCTCATCTGTACAAAGGAAAGAGTGGTATTTCCTCCCCACTGTACTATATTAAGGATAAATGTAGATCATCCAAAGGAAAGTATTCCTAAGATTTATGAATGTTAATAATTGGTATTCTAACCATGAAAACTCACATCAGTGTGGATGCCAACCTCCCTCCTCCACAAGGGTGCACCCCACTGCCATGTGAAAAAGCTTAAAGAGGAAAGCTAAGGGCACAAGGTTAGTAATCAAATCCAAACATTCCCAGAGCCAGATATACAAGCATCATCTCAATGTCTTTCCTCAGAAGAGCACTACCCAAGAGAAATACACAAGCCACAACCTCCAAGTCATTAGTTTAAAAAAACAACATGAAAACTAAACAGCTTTACAATAACTAGTTAATTGTAATGCTATATTTTATTTACCCAATATCCAAAACAGTATATTTTCAGCATGTAGTCAATATAAAAAATATTAATGAGATAGTTTACCTTCTTTTTTATTCTGAGTCATCAAAATCTGGTGTTTATGTTAGACTCACAGAAAATTTCAGTATGAATGCTACATGTCTGTCTATATACTTGATCTATATTTACATTTCATAAAATTCAAAGTTCATAAAGGTAAACTGGATATCCAAGTTGCTCTGAAGATGCTTAATTTTGTCCAACAAATGAACTGAAATCATTAAAATTAAACAAAATTTAAAATTCACTACCTCAGTTGCACTAAATTGCAAAATAACCAGCTTGTGTCTGGAAGCTACCATACTAGAAAGACAACACTGGAGTTTCTGAAGCGCACGTTCCCATCTCTGCTGCCACCTGCATTTGAGGTATTTCAGTGTGTGTGAATGGGGAAATGCCACGAACAGAAGCCAAATTATAAACTACAATGTCTTGGATGTTCTGATCAGGAGGAAATGTGAGACCACATGCAACCTATATAATGCTCAAGTGAATCCTGGACTTCATTTAGTCCAAATAGTTTATTTCAGAAATGAGGAGACAAAGGACTGGCAGAGAAAGCAACTTGTTTGAGAGAACACAGTGAATGAATGACAAATCTAATAGTGCAACCCAGAGTTTTGAGCCCGGCACCATCACCTGCAGGTCATAGGGCTAACAGCTGCTTCTGAAGAGTAGCCCCAGACACAGTGCAAGTGACAAGACTCTTCGAAGCCTGCCACAGGTAAGGTAAGGATAAAAGTAAAGAGAAAGAACTTTAAGGAAAATAAAAAAAAACACAAAAACTGGTACTACAACACCAGTGCCACTCCTGGATTTTATAACCACTCTGATTTTATAACCATTCAAGTCAGGGCTTGAATGGAAAATAAATTTGCATATTCAAGTAAATAATTTTTCTCCTATCTCCACAAAAAACGATGAAGACCCAGAACCAGAAATTTCCACAACAGTATCTATTACGACTTCCACATCCTACCTTCCAACTTCTAATTAAAGTCCTGAATGTTGGGCTTAGTTACAGATAACAGGGTCTAAGGAATTTTACAATTGTTCCTTTCACTAAATGAAAGAAGATTCCAAAGAGTTAGAATTATGTGAAGTTCTTTTGGGGTAGATCCATTTATTTCCAATTAATTTACATTGGTGATCAGTGATATATACTGTTTCACATCTCCAGGGAAGATAGATCCATATACTTGATTCTGCCAAAATCCTAGCATTAAAGTTCCATCACATTTTCATGGTGGGAATAGGGAAAACAACCTCCTGGGGGTGGGGGGAAGTCCCTGAATTTCTTTTAATTGTGTATTTGTGCACACATGTACTTGCTGGGTATATGGTCTGCTCCTTTTTAAAAAAAATAAAAAGTGTCCAAATAATGGACCCCTTACTTAAGGAAAATAGCATGCTATTATTTTATACTTGGCAATATAACTGTACATAAACCCAAATCGTGCACATAGTTAATGCATTTTCTTTTCTTTTGAATGAATCTTTTGTTATAAAGAGGGTTTTTTTATGTATAGGGTGAGAGCTAACAAATTTGGAATATTTCAATGTATTATATCAATCTCTACAAGTCTGATACAAATATTTTTATTTTGTGTAGGACTAGACCTGCTAAGACAATAGGAATGTTTCTATTCATCAGTCATAACATACTCTCACTAAGATGAAAAATGTTGCCATTTTTTACTTTAAGATTGATTAAAAGGGATGTATTGCAAATCACATATTGGTTTGTTGATAAAGCAAAAGTCTGAGTATAATCCCCTATGTGTATTTCCATGAAATAGTGCAAATTATTTTATTCTTAATTTAGGTATGTATATATATGTGTGTGTATTTGAACACTTACTATGTCTCAGGCATTGTGGGGGTTACAAAATGATAAAAGAACAGAGGACTTTGGGATAAAATAAGTTTATGTGAATAATGCTATAATCTCATTTGTAATATAACTTCATTGAATACCAGTGCTTCAAGTTTAAATGGAAATTACGTGATTTTTCTTTCAAAGGTAAGGATTTTATAATGCACACCATTCAATGTCTTTGATATATAAAATGTGTACTTTAGCTTCAGTCTTTGCAGTGCTGCAATTATATATTTTTCATCAACCATATATATCTAATTGTTGAAACTGATTCTATTTTTTGTTTACTTTTTTTCTAATTTCTTTTCTCAAGTCTTTAGGGTGTGATATTGGAAACAATGGGAGCTTCAAGTTGAATCCAGTACAGGAAAAATATTTAAGTACCACCACAATTGACTCAATAGATGTGAGATTAATTCTAAAAAGGGTTTAACGGCTCTCAGTATGAAACAGTGATACAAACATTTGCACAGTGCTAATGCATGCCACCATAAAACTTTCTATTCATAAGTAATGTAAATTACCTAAGCATTTTACCTTTAGTATGAGAAGGTTAATGTTTTTTGGATGTGAAGTACACAAGTACGCCTTTAGAAGGTGTAGCCAGGCTTTGAGGGCTTTGTGAATGTGAGCTCTCAGAGAGCTGAGTGGGTGACAAGCAGGACCAACAACCTGCTCAGTCCTACATCAACTGCAGGAAAGCCATTGAAAATGCTTTTCAATGTGAAAGACGATGTGATTCTGCAGCATTTTTTTCGGAAAGGAAATGTAACTTGTATTATAGAGGTGTCATGTTTACCTCTTACTCAATGAAGAGAGATTTTTTTTACCTTAAAATGACAGTAGAGACTTTATTTAAAATGTGAAACTGAACCTTATTTTTTTCCACACAAGAGAAATGAGATCGTTTTAATTCTAGGACTTTGGTGTATTCGGGATTGTAATTCTACCCTGCCTGAACATGAGAAAGAAGGAATAAGGATGATCACATTGAATAGATTCAGAACCAGAGCTTTGCTAGAGTTCACAAATTTGAAACAGTCTGCTGAAACTGCTGATGCTTGCTTGTAAAGAAATCAGGTTGCACCTAGGGAAATGAAGCAGGGAACAAAAATAAATTAACCATTCAGCCTCTTTTTCTCAAGCTAACTATCAAAGAAGATTTTTTAAAAATGAGTGGATCGGGGATCTCACCATCAAATCTCAGATGTTTACACAAGTACATCAGTGATACAAGGTAGACATAACAAGGTTAACGAGAAACGAACATAAAATATTCTACATTTTAAAGAAAGCGTAATTTACTTTTATGGGGCAAAAGGAAGAGGAAGACAGAAGGACTTCAAACAAGAAGGGACTGTTAAAAGGGCATATGTTAACAGTGTGAGCAAATGTGCAGAGCCAGCATATTTCAGGATCACATTCAGTGGGGCTAGAGCATAAAGTACAAAAGGGTGTACATAGTGAGATAGTCAAGGAGGAAGAATTTGACTAATTTGTGGAGGGCCTCAGAATGCAAGCTAGGAACTGTGGACTACTTAAGGAGAGAGCAGAGGTTTTTCAAAGTTGGTATGTAATTCGGTGACATAGCCAGAACTTGGATTTTAGGAACAAGGACAGCTTCATGTGTATGCAAGCTATACCTTTGCATAGGGCTCTTACTCAGTAGGGTGTCATGTTATGTAGTCACTGTCTTAAAAATTTTAGTAATTCTATTTTTGTTTTAAAGTGAAATCTGATAGGATAATAGACCATGTGTGGTTGGAGAAACCATACTTGTAATATGCACTGTTCCTTATCAGCCCATTTATGATGCTCCATGAGCACAAAATTCTGGTTGACCCAGGCTGCATGGGAGTTCAGCCAGAATTAAACTGAGAACACAATAAACTTGTTGTGTCTAGAATAACTACTGAAGAAGGGGCATAAATGGACCTGAGAGGCAACACTTTCCATTTAAACTTGAATGTGTGTTTCAAACACAAAAATAATGTAATTATGTTCTAAACATATATAACCAAGGAATAACCAAATACACAAATAACCAAGGAATCCTATAATAGTCTTTCTTACTCACATTTTGTATTAGCCAATCATTTCAGCTGAAACATGACGATATAGAAGGAAAGGGAAAGATAGGGAAACCCATAGGACCTTTTCTGTTCAATCTTTCATACTCAACAGTAAGCCAAAAGTAGAGCATGTAGGTAGAATGTGCATGGAATTATATGGAAATAAAAAGAGTTGAGCTAGTTTTGTCCAGCATTTTATTCTAATAAGAATGAAATACTTACATATGTGCAAACTCAAAAATATGAAATATGTAATTTCATTGGTTCTGCATGCAAGTTTCTATATTTGTATGTAAAACTGGCACAACAAAAATATACAGCAAAATTTATGCTGATAATTTAAATTTTAACTCATATAATTAAACCAACCATTAAAATGGGAAGAAAGAGTAGAGGAGAATAAGTGTTTTTCTTTATTCCTCTCACTGAGTATAGTTAAAATCCTTAAACATTATATATAAAACAAAAGTAAGAAAACGGAAATGTGGAGAGAAGAGACAGGAGAACTAGAGACTAGAGGACCCACAGAATGACATGATAGCACATTTCCTGGGGCTTTAGTTATGCCTTATATATTCCAGACTTGGAGTGGAAAAAGCCAGCCACCAGAAAATGCCAAAGGTTTCAGGAGAAAAAAAATAGCACCAAAAAAGGAATAGCCTTGCAAGACAGAATGGTTAGACAATAATCTCTCTATTTCAGCCAAACACGACAGACAATAACTGACCTGCCATCCTCTTTCACGTCAACAAAGTTTTAATGGAGAGCTGTGATTCCACCTAATAATGAAGTGCTCCTTGCCCTAGCTGAGGTGGTAACAGAGGTGGCCTCCTGCACTTTCAGGACTTCAAAGGCTCCTGATGATGACAAGGCTATCCCTCCAAGGCATCATATGCATAGTATCTAGGCACTCATACACCTTAAAGCCAGGGTGGTAATCAGCAGAGACCCAGCAGAGAGCCTGTACTTCTGCTCCCACTTTGTAATAACAAGGAACTCCTCCCCATTCCCAGTGTTAGGAAAGACAAAATGAGGAACCTGGACTTTAACTCTTACCTGGAAATAATGAGATGGCAGTCCCTTTCCTCTGTCAGGACAGAATGAGAAGTCAGCTAAAACAGACAATTTAAATAAGGTTCAGAGTCTCATAACATAATAGCCAAAATGTCTACTGTTCAAAAAAATAGCTCATTATAACAAGAACCAAATAGGCTTTGGGATCTAAATTATGCAGAGTCCATATGCTTGACACTAAAAGCATAATCCATAAAAAGAAAAATAAGTAAACTGAACTTTACCAAAGTTTAAAAATTTTGCTCTCTGAAACATCTTGTTAAGAAAGGATGAAAAGGCTAACTGAAGCCTAAGAGAAAATATTTGCAAACCATCTCCTGATTAAAGATTATCTAGAATATATTCATAACTCTCGAAACTCAACAGAAAAAACATAAATCATCCAATTTGAACATGGGCAAAACCCTTTCCCTAAAGAGGATAGAGTGCTAGCCAATAATCACAAAAAATGACATTTAACATTTTTAACAACTGATGAAATGCAAATTAAAGTCACCATAATATATGACTGCATATCTATTACAGAGACTAAGATATAAATTAAATATATAGCTAATGCTGCCAAGGATATGAAAAAACTTGATCACATATGTACTTTTAGAAGAAATACAAAATGATATAGCCACTTTGGAAAACAGTCTTATAGTTTCTTTAGAAACTATACATGCAATTGCCATATGATCAATCAATAAAACTCCTGAGCATTTTCTTAACCCAGAGAAATGAAGACTTTGCTTCATTCATGCATGAACACCTGTCTGTGAATGTTCATAATGATTCTCCTCATAATTTCCAAAAATTGGAAATAGGCCAGGTGTCCTTCAAAAGATAAATGGTAAAACTGTGGCATATCCACACTATGGAATACTAGTCAACATTAAAAAGGAATGAGCTAGTGCTATCCAACTTGAATGGCTCTCCAGAAAATTATGCTGAGTGAAAAAAATAAAGCCATTTTCCAAAAGATTATATACTTTAAAACTCCACTTATATAACATTCATTAAATGATAAGATTATAGAAATGGAGTAATAATTAATGGTTTTCAGGGGGTAAATTGTAGGAAAGGTAAACCTGGGAAGAAAGGGCATGCGGCTATAAAAGGTCAGCATGAGGATTTCTAATGATGACAGAAATGTTCTGTACTTTGACTGTGTTAGTGTAATGCCCTTTGGTGATAGTGTACTATAGTTTTGCAAGATGTCACTGTTGGGGGATATTACATAAAGGATACATGGCATCTCTCTAGATTATTTTTTATACCTGCATGTGGATCTATAATTATCTCTCTATAAAAGTTATTTTAAAAATCATCAAAATTAAACAAAGCAACAGTGAGGATTAAAGATGGTGGCATGAGAGGAGAGACACAGGCTTCCTCCCAAAACTGGATACAACTAGAAAATATAGTTGGCGCAACTAATCCTGAGAGAGCAACAGGAAAGAGGATGGTATCAGACTGCACACACCTGGAGAAAAGAGCAGATCTCACCCAATGGGGTAACATACCAGAGCTGTGGCTCCATGGGACCTGAGCCCTTCCCCGACCCCAGCTCACCGGTGGGAGGAAGAGAAACGGAGCAGGGAGGGAGTGGAAGGCCTGGGACTGCTGAATATCTAGATCTGGAGATCTGCTCTGGGAGCACAAACCTACATTTCATGGTGCTTTCATGAGAATCGCAAGACTAACGGGTTGGAAAGTTAATACAGGCAGAGTTCCTGGGAAGACTGGGATTCTGGACGCTTGTGGAAAGCAGGGATCCATATCCGGCTGCTCTGGGACAAAAAATTATACCTGTGTGCCAGGACCACTGGCTCAGGCAGTGAAGACAGGTACAGCAGCTGAGAGTGGGGGAACAGCTCTTTCCTCTCCCCATACACCAGTATCACACCCCTGTGACCCCCGACATCACTTCAGGGGCCGAGCAGCTCCAGAAACTACAGCTTCTGGACACTAGGGGGCGCCATATACAAACAAGAAATGCCAAGGGAACCTTGTCCAGAGTAAAATTATTAATACAACTCTCGAGAAAGATTTAAATGATATGGACCTCGTGACTCTTCCTGAAAGGGAGTTTAAAATAAAAA